ATTACAAATGGCAGGCGTTTTGATAGTTATCATTAGCCCTTTAGTTGACTTTGGGCTTCACAGAGGGGAGGAGAAATATCAAAATGAGAAGAATTCGAGAGGAAGAACGGAAGTGATTCACAGATGTAAAAGAAACAGACAGAGACCAAGGCTCAGAAAGGGTAAGATGAGTACTGTGGTAGGGGTAGAATATAACATACAGTGGGGTGATGGTAGTTTGAAATCAGAAGTCAAATGCCGGTTGATAGACTTTTTGGCCGTATTATACGTTGCCCAGGGTGCACCACGAGGAGGTAAGTCTATCTCACACCCCTGGAAGAAAAGTATTGTGAATGGAATACTTCCGAATCTCTTGATTACTGAGATCCGCCACATGTGATTTCATCTGGAAGCTAAACGTAGAGTAAAGAATTTGATTCCTTATCATCTACGAACAACGCCAATCATAATGTTTTTAACGTCCCAACTAATCAACAACTGTCATACACACCCGAGAGATCCCTCATGATCCTTAGAAATCAAGATAGACCCTATCCCCAACAGGTCAATCCCACAATTATGGTTTTAGAATATTAGTAGCACTACGTGTAGACGCAACCCTTCATGGTAACATGATAATATTCAATACGACATCCGAAAAAACGGAAGCTAGTGTAGCGTCCGCTAAAAAAGAATGAGGTAACTATATAAGGCTTTCCACTCGAACTCTATGCTATGCAAACAAATCTAAGCATTTTCCGTACTAAACAAAGCCTGTGCTTTATTCACTGCAATAATACACAAAATACCGTAGGCTCCTGATACATACCAGGATAAAGCACACATCACTTAAAGTCAAAGTAACAAACAACTAATTGAACACCAATAAAAAGAATTAAACAATACACATAACATCAAAAAAGCGTCTTCCAAGCGACTGTATGGGTATTTATTACAATCTTTAAATCGAAGTTCAGTTACTTTAGAGGGATGAACCTAGAGCTGTGTGTGGCACCAATACCTGGGCGACCATGCTTGACAGGCTTGTATGTAAGGGAGAACTCTCCAAGATAGTGACCAATCATTTCAGGACGAATTTCAACTTGGTTAAATGTTTTCCCATTGTAAATGCCAACAATAGATCCAACCATCTCAGGAAAGACGATCATATTACGCAAATGGGTCTTGACTGGGACAGGCTTCTCACCCAAAGGGCAATTTTTCTTGCTCTGTCGGAGTTTTTGGAGAAGAGTTATGTGTTGTTGAGTAAGACCACGCTTAATGCGTCGGCGTACGCGGCAAGTGAATAACTCACCAAGCTGTTCTCTAAAATGAGGATGGTATATGCAATAAAATGAACGTACTGAGTCATATCAAGAAGCTTTTCGAGGTCAACGCCACGATAGAAGTATTTCCTAAATGTTCTCCTCTTCTTGACTTCTTCTTCGGCCTAAGAAAACGAACTTAGATCAAAGCGCAAACATACCATTAGCAAAACACGACACAAGTGAGTAAAAATCGAGCGCGGGCCTGTCCAAAACTGTGTACTTAAACAAAAATTGAATATTGCTTTACAATATTTTAAATGTTAAGGTATCAAAATAAAATAACTATATAATATACATTAAATAATATACAATTTGAGTAAGCTCATAATATACACGTATTTATTGAGCATGAAAAATGTTAATGAATTATCTTATTTAAAGACAATGAATTTTTAACCAGTTACTCTAAATTGTCTTTTATGCATCAAATAAATTCACAATTTTGTGTTTTTTGCTAAATTCAAATATGTCTTCCAGTATTGTTAATGAAAATATATATGGTATTCATTATTTTGTCTTTTAAATTCATAAATTTTTCAAAATTTGGAATATTTTTTGCAAATTTTTCATATTTAATATTTCGAAATATGTTCAGTAAAACGTTCAACCTGTAGAATAAGTAAGAATTTCTACCGCTCCTTTGGTTGTGGTGATAATATCCTGAAGGTGATCGCTTCAAATGTTCGCTATGTCATGTTAATCCTAATATTGAATGAAATTATTTCATTTGTTTATCACAACGATAATTACGGAGTTTGTAAATAAATACGTAAAGTAATTAGTTTAAGAAAGCATCGTAAGTGAGACAGTGTAAGGTGGTTCATTTCACACTTCATAAACAAATTGTAATAAATCTAGTAACTTATTTGTACCCTCAGCAACGTGTTGAAACTTAAAATATTCATACTTATGTTACTTCACTAGATATCAGTATTTCACAAAGATGACTTGTAGCTAAAAGTTTAGCGATTGACAGTTTTGGAAATTGTTATTAGATGTAATGTATATCTTATTTTTCTGGCTCAAGTGACTACTCAGTTAAAAAAACTTATCGCACAGTTGACGAAATTGTCTGATATTTTATGATATGGTCTTATATAAAAATAATTGTAATGTGTCATCTATATATTCCAAGGCACTGTTATTAAGTCTAGGTATATTTAAGATCAAAGTTATTTAGTAATTTATTTTCGAAACTTGTTTAGATCGTTTCTAGTTTTTATCTGCATATTAGGCCAACGTTAATAAACACATTATTTTGCATCCTTAAGTAATATTTATACTAAAAAGGGTTAGTAACGCTGAAGTTTGAGGCTCAACTTAATAAAGGAAAGAAAAGAATTTTACGTATAAATCAAATAACCTGTCAAGGGTGGCGTGTGCTACCGGACTAACATGGGTGACGAACACCCTAGAGACAACCTTGAATTTTTGTCATTCAAAGGTGAAATAAAATATCTACATCCTTTTATTTGAAGTTTTCGAGTAAAATTTAATTGATCTTTTTTGTAAACGACTACTGCCGTTTTTTCCACCAGCAAGTTAACATTCTTAAATGAATAAGTTAAATTTAAAATTAAAAAACAAATACATTGAGGTTTATAATTAATCACTATTTTATGGACAATTCTGCAATATCTTATAATTTGTTATTCTGAACCACAGTCTATGCACCTCTAGTGTAGAATTTCTATTAAGATTTGAATAATCGCTTTCAAGGTCGTCTTCTTAAGTGATGTCGTTCAATGCAGTTTCCTACTGCGAAAAAAATAATTTAATTCCTCAATTCGGCTGGCGAAGAAAATTTTCTGATCCACTGCAGAATAATGGAGGGACTTTCGGGTCCATTACATTTATGTCTAAGGTTCCAGAGATTGCAAAGTAATCACGTAATTTTTTAACTGTTATATTTTTATTTTTTTTTAAAAAAGTATTATTTGCTACTTCTATTCATCTTATACTGAGTCTTATGAAAATTAACTATCAATAAAGCTGTCTTATATATATATATATTATAATTATACCATTCTCCACCATTTTACAATTTTTCCCTTTAGATACTTTACTGATGTTCACCTTCCAAGGAAGTATAAGAAAAAAAGTCTAGAACCAATGGATCTTTTGCACCCATTAAGAGTGCCACCAATCTACGGTGTTCCCCTTGGTGGTATCGGTTGCGGAACAATTGGCCGTTGTTTTAAGGGTTCATTCCGCCGATCAGGTCTTGTTCCTGGTCGATATAACTACGAAGTCGGCCCTGCTGACCAGGCAATTTCATTTTTCATGTCAATATTTGTTTTATGGTTATTGACTATTGATGAAGTAGATTTTTGCTTTCAGTTCATTCTTACTGTTAAGAAAGAAGGACAGGTTGTCTATCATCAAGTCTTGTCCTGTTATGCGCAAAATGTTGAAGGTCTAAAATCATGGAAATGGTCCTTTCTAGCTGATTATGGCGAATACGTTGGTCTCTACCCTCGCTCTTGGACTGTCTATAGCTTTCCAGAACTGAAACTTGCCCTCGTTTGTAAACAAGTCTCACCTGTCATCCCTGGCAACTACAAGGACAGTTGTCTGCCCTGTGGTGTATTCCAGTGGATTGCACTCAACTTTGACACTGAACGTGAAGTTGAGGTGTCAATTACTATGACATGGAGAGGTGCTCGGGCGCCGAAGCAACCTGATCCGCCGAACTCTGGCAAAGCTGGTGCTGTGTGTGCTGAAATTGGTCATCTGAGAATAAATAGGGGCGATGAATTCACTTTCCCCTTCGACGATGCCGATAACAAACTCTCGGGTTGTCTTCTTGAAACCATGATTGGTGACATTCCATGCTGTTTCGGTATCGCATCGAAGACAACCCAACAGGTTAGAGGTAGCCTTGTTTAAAAGTCTTTTTATTTGGTTGCATAGAATTTTCGGCATGTTGTGTCGGTTTCCTGAATTACATAACTATTTAGTCTTTGCTGTTTTTAAAACCATGCATTGTGTGCTCCAATTTGTTTGACGAACACTGTGATCTATTTAATTTGTGAATAAGTGGGATAGGAAATCAATGCATATTAGTCTAGGTTTTAAGGAGATTGGGAAGGCTAGTTTGATGATTAGACCTCATAAAATAAACCTTGGCTTAGCTAGCGTATATAAACATCCCGTTACTTCCCAGGCGCAAGAGAAATGATTGATTAGCAAGTAATATTATTCTTTTTGCACGCCTTTATAGGTTGAAGTTAGCCGTTGCCTTGGCTTTAGCTTCGGTGTTAAGAACGCCTCTGATCTTAAACAAAAGAATACGGGAGAAGAGCTCTGCAAATCACCTTGGGGAGTCAGCGCACACCCAATGGCCTCTATCAACGACGCCTCCACAGCTGCCAAAATGTGGACTGATCTTGGTCGCAATGGCCATCTCTCTAACGATAATACTGGTATGGCGGATATCCACTCGTCAAGTCTGTTTAAAAGCAAATCTAACGAGATTCCTGTGACTGTTCTATCTCTTTTCTACATATAATCGTTAGTGTGAATGAGACTTCATTTAGTGTGCATGTTTTTTCTACCCTATCTTATCTTTTTCTAGCTTATCACTTACACTAGAGCTCTGGTTATACATATTTTCAATAGTTGGGACTTTTTTATTTGTGCAGAGATCTCCATTTGTCTTGTTAGTAGCAAAAATAAAAAAAATGCCCTCTCATTATATACACTTTTCTTTTTCGTCCATTTTCAGGCTACTATGTGGAAGGAAAGTCCAAAGGCCAGCCTTTAATCGGTATCGCCACATGTGCCTCCTTCAAAATGGGTAAAGCTTCTTCCAATTCGAGTCCCTGTGAAGAGAAGTGTGAATTCTATCTCGTCTGGAATATGCCGAGGGTACACTTTGGAACGGCTATCATTGCCTACAAAAGGTATTTAACCAATATTTCACTGTGCTTCTTTCTCATGGTTTAATTTATTCTCTTTTCACGAAATACATATCCCATCAAGGTGGTGTACAAAATGTGCTTGTTCTAATTTAAATAATTCACTTGTAGCGGAATATTCTCTTGAGGAAATGACGATTGGTTAGTAATTAATGAGAGGAATACTGGAGTCGTCATAAGAGACTTGTAAATGGCTGATTATAGGGATTATTTTACTACACACCCTGAAGTTGTGAAGCCCTTGGGTTGGGATATTTTATGGTGCTAAAGAAAGGATCTTCTTTTCTAGGCGCTATACCCGATGGTTCACCGAGGATACAGTTCGAGGCGCGTGTGAACTTCTGACCTACGCTTCAAAGAATGTGAACAGCTGGAATGAGGCCATTGACTCCTGGCAGAATCCAATTCTTCAGGATAGGTATGCAACAAATCGTGTTTGTGTTTTTGATTCTTTGCTTTAAAATCCTTCCTTAAATGGTACTTTAGTGAAATAGACTAACTTCCGACTTCGAATACACCATTTCTTATATTGCATATGGTGACGAAAAACTACTATCATTTAAAGCAGGCATGTAAGAGGGGAGGGGGGAGCTCGCGTTGTAACCTTCTTAGCCTTCAGAACTACCACCGAATTAAGCTAATTTTGACAATTTACTCAAAATTCAACAAAGTCAACAAAGCCATGTGACTAAACACATTTTAATAAGTATGAAACCTTTGTGAACAACTAAGAGTTGTTACTTTAGTCTTTCGTGGGCAGAAATTATTCGCTTTATCCAACAGGCCTGTCAGGTGAAGTGAAATGGAAAGGGAAATCAGGAAAAAAACTGACTTCTTCAGAAATCCGGTTTACTAGGGTGTCAGTTTTTCTACTTTAATGGTTTGAATTTATTGAGTATGGATTTAACATTTTGTAGTCGCAGCCTGTTAATCAATTTTCTGATTTGGATGCTATTACAGTTATCTATAGTATCCTTCTCTAATTTAATACGAGATTTAAGATGACAGTCATGCCCTAGTTAATAAACCTATTTTCTTGTGATAACTAGTTTCCAATAAATTAGCTCTAGCATTGTCATATTATTCACAATCGCAATTTTGAAGCTATCTTACATTTTTCGTGGGCTTTCTAGTTGACTTCATTTAACCCAACTATGCATCAATTTCTAACTTTTCATCGTTAAAAGGAACCTGATTTTGGTCTTATTAATAAGTAATGCAAATCCGAATTAGCCCATTTAAAAGTATAAGATAAGTGAAGATGGAATTGGGCAAATGATTATTCAATAGGTCTAAGAATGAATGCTTATAGCAGGGGAATTCATTTTAAGGGAATGCTTTGAACCTAATCTTCAAATGACCTAACATAAATCTGATAACGAGCGTTTTCAAGTAAGACCATCATAGGGTGGAAATGTGAAATGTGACAACATTCTTACTTTCAAATACGGTTGTGTGTCGCAAAAAGAAATGAATCACATAATTATATTCTCGTAAATCTACCCTAAACTGTCCTTTTGCGTGCAAGAGCTGAACGACCTCAAAGCACAGCTAATATGAGTAAGGTCGAGGTCAAGTTTGGACGCATAGAGGGGGACATTGAGTCATTGACTTGAGTCATGAAACATTCAAAAATAAGGTAAAAAACAAACCAATTAAATCTGAAAAAATTAGTATTATTACTAAAGCTTAATAACCTCTCCTAACTTGCAAATTTTTTTAGACTGAAAGATACTGAAAAGCGCGTGGGATTATTGAGCCTTCTCAGTTATTTCATGAAAAGAGATGATTTGGGAGTGTGTCAGGATCGAACACCATGATTAAATAAAATGACGGTTCACAACCACTGAACAAACAATCACTGCAATCTACTAGACAAATAATAAGATCTCAATTTAAGAAATGGGAACGATCTATTGCATTCATATTGTGCAATCTAAGTCCACAAATCGAATGAAATTTTGACGTTGGACTCATTAGCTTTTCAACTCGCCCCTCCCCCTTTCTCCTGGTTTGATATTTATTGGACACTATTGTGAGTTTCTCTTGATTGACATAGTTAGGAATGGCATGCGTGAAGAATTCAAAACATCGAGAACCTCGCTTCATTCAAGCTACATCACCAGTGAGCTGGTTCCAGTGTTTCCAAGTTCAATTTTCTTGATTTTTCCCCTGGGTGAGTTTATGCCCACTATATTTCGAGTTTAATTGGATGATTGATCAAGACACTTAAATTTAAACTCTATCCTATTATCGTCAAAAGCAGATAGATGAGACCGGCTAATAGGTTTTAAAACCAGCTGATCAGGTTGGCTAAATAGCATTTCTTTAGTAATAATGTTCTAATCAGTAAAATTGTCAATCGTAAGAGTATATCATGTCTCATGTCCCTAGGTCGTTTAATAGATACCATGTTATCCTTCCTGTGTTTTTTTATTGGATTTAGTGGTCTACCAGCCTGGTACAAGTCCTCAATCTTCAACGAACTCTACTATGTTGCTGATGGAGGTACCGTTTGGTTGGACCCTCTCCCTATCGACCAGTCCCCTGTGTCAGCAGCTGATACATCTAATTCCACCGCGGATACCACACCTGTACGTAATGGACTCCCGGATTCGGACGACGAGTTTCTCTCTCCGCTGGATGATGTCCGACGCAGAAATCCCACTGTGATTTTGCGTCGACCCACAGACTACCCGATTAGTATTGACTTTGATGAAAATGTGCAGGAGAGTGCAGATGGAAGTGGTGATAATGCTGATGTGATTCAAAGTAGAATTAAACTCGGAAAGGAGATGGGAATATTTGGTTACCTTGAAGGTGAGCACCCTTTTTTGAAGTTGGCTTCTATATCTCGTACACACCGACTCGTTTATTGGACTGATTTGCGTGCTTAAGTGATTTCAAAGTGAATATTAGTAGTCGAAGAAATCGCCCTACCTCACTTTGCCCCCCCCCCTCCCTCCCCTATTTTTGCCCTTTTTTCGTGCAATAAGGAGATAATTATATATCCCCGCTCAGGTAAGGGTATTGACTAGGCACTTGTATAGTTTAATTCGTTTGGCAAGAATTATTGGCATTACATATTGGCATATTGTAGAACTCTAATTGGTCTCAGAAATGAAGCTTATGCGTTTTTACATCCTAAGTGATTTTTCCATTGAGTCAATAGAATGTACTGATGGCCTGCACTTAGAGTCAACAATGTGCTGTCGATGCGAGTCCTTAAATAATCGATAAGGACCTGTCTTTTCGTTACAAATTGTGCAAAGATTAACTTAAGGCATCTTTTTCTTTGTGAAAGCAAGTTTGTTACCACACAGAAGAAAGGACGGGAATATATGCGTTATTTGATGCAGAACTCATTGAAATGAATGTTCGAGACACTGAATCCTGGTGAATTAGTAAACAGTTGTAGACACAGGGGCAACTCTCGTTTTCTGGGTGGTTGGCACAATATGAACTATGCGCAATTGTTGCTATAGTTACTAAGACTCATGCAAATTCGCTACAAGTCCGTATGTTTCTATTTGCAAAGTGTTGTTTTATGCGAAGTTGAGATCCACATTTTAGCGCCCTGCTGGCCAATACCAGTCACTACTAACTAAGTCGGTCATTAGCTTTACACCAAAATATCATCTAAAGTTGAAAATTAGTAAATTTATTTATTTCAAATGGCATGCGTTATGATAGTTACCATTAGGCATTTAGCTGACTTCGGGCTTCACAGAGGGGAAGGAATATCAAAGTGAGAAAAATTGGAGAGGGGAAACAGAAAAGTGATTCAAGGATGCCAAAGAGATAGACAGACACAAAGGCAGAGAAAAGGTAAGATGAGTACTGTGGTAGGGGTCGAATATGACAAGCAGTCGGGTCATGGTAGTTTGAAGTCAGAAGTCAACTGCCGGTTAATAGACTTTTTTGCCGTATGAGTATACGTTGCCCAGGGTGCACCACGTGGAGGTAAGTCTATCGGACACCCCGAAAATTAGTAAATAACCCTCCCAAATGTGTCTACTACTAGGGCATGAATACAGAATGTACAATACCTACGATGTTCACTTCAACGCTTCTTGGGCATTACTCAAGCTTTGGCCTAAACTCCAACTGTCGATGAACTACGATTTGGCAGACATCGCAGCTAGCGTGGACCGTCAGCCTATGCAAGTTATCTTCAAAGGTGTGAATGACAAGAAGCGCGTGACCAACCTCTTCCTCTCTGTCCCTCATGATGCTGGAAACCCTGAAGCTGAGCCTTTCTACAGTGTAAATGCCTATGATCTTCGAGCCACCGACGAGCGGAACGATCTCAACAGCAAATTCATTCTCATGGTTTGGCGAGATTGGAAGATCACTAATAATGATGATTATCTCTTCTATATGCTTCCTCTTGTATTGGTAAGT